TACAGCCTTTCATGAAACCCTAGGGGACACTTCTACTCCATTTTGGCCACTGGTCACTCTTTCCAGTTGATTCCCTATGACGTGTCCCAACCTTTTGAGTTTTGTTGGGTGGTTTTGTTTTGCTTTGTTTTGTTTTGTTTTGTTTTTAGAGCTTCGTACTGAAAAATGTCCCAGGATCAACTGGTATTTTAAGGCTCTAGCCCCAGAATCAGTCCTCTCTCTATGAAGTCTTCCTTTCTGTTGTTGTTGTTGTTGTTATGTGCCATCGAGTCGCTTGCAACTCACAGCGACCCTATATACAACAGCCCTAAACTCTGTTCTGTCTTGTGCCAATTGCACTGTTTCCGATACACCCATCCCGATTACCCCAGTCACTGAATCAATCCACCTCAGAGAGGGCCTTCCCCTCCTGTACTGTCCCTCCACCCTACCAAGCATCGTTCCCTCCTTACAACATGTCCAAAGTATGTTAGACAGAGCCTCAGAATCCTTGCCTCCAGGGAGCCACCTAGTTTAACCCTTTCCAGGATGAATCTGTTTATTTTCCTAGCAGTCCATGGTACCCTCAATACTCTTCTCCAGCACCACAGCTCAAAGGCATCAATTCTCCTTCTATCCTCCTTAGTCATTGTCCAACTCTCTGATGCATAACACGTGATTGCAAAGACCATGGCCTGTATCAAACGCACCTTAGTCTCCAGAGAGACACCATTGCTCTTCAGTACTTTGGAGAGGTCCCTAACAGACTTTCCCATAGTAATACGTCTTTTAATTTCTTGGCTACTGGTGCCGAGAGTGTTGACTGTGGAGCCAAGCAAACTAAACTAAAGCTGTGAACAATCCTTTTTGTATTGGAGAAAAATGTTTTAAAACCAGAGCCTGAGCTCTGGGAGTGCTTATTGCTACTGACCTGGTGCTGCTTCTAGGTCATCTCAGCAAACAGAATTGGATAATAAATGTTTACATCCTAAACCACATCCACACACACACATCTTTAATTGTATCTCTCATCTCTGTGTGTGTTTGTGTGTGTGTGTGTGTGTGTGTGTGTGTGTGTACACTGATGTTTCCAACTTTAATCCAGTTCCCAAGATTCATGCCAGTCTTCCTTTCTTCTTTATCTGCAACTCCCCTTTCTCACAGGGAAAAGCCTGCCTCCCACTATCCACTGGCCTTTTACTTCTTCTCTCCACCCTGATGCACATAAAATACCGATTATAATTCAGTGTCTGCTGTTCCATTTCTGCTCAGCCTTACCATTTTTACTTCAAACATTGTTTTCTAAAGCTATTTACCTCTGTTCCTTTTATCCCTCTGCCCCTTCAGGGTGGCTCTGTCATGCATGTGTAAGGAATGTTTTGCCTATTATCACTGTATTGCCTCCCAGCTCAGGATGCATCCTTGAATATTTATATTCTGAGAAAAGAATTTTTATTTTTCTCTCCTTTCAAACAAGAGTGAGCTCTCAGTAGAGGGCGCCAGAGGGACACTGTAGGAGGAAGCCACTCTCCAGCCACGTCCAATGAGCGCAACTTGCAGCCTTAGCTCAGAAACCAGCCGTGGGTTCAGAATTGCACTACCAACAAAAAGATGACGTTGTTGTTGTGTACCAGCTTCTCTGCGGGAGGAAGATGGGCAGTCACCTCTCAGATTTATGGCCCTGCCCCTGCTAGAACCCAGATTCCCACTGACCACCACACCGCTGATGCTGGTTCCCGCTCCCCACTGACCAAAGCAGGGAACCCTGCTAACAGGGCTGAACCACATTTTCCAAGTTTGTCCGTGGGACTCTCCCCTAGCCCTGTTGTCGTTGTTATATAACCGCAGAGTCAGAGTCAACGCTCATCTGATCCTCCAGTAGGTTTTCAGAGGTCACAAATCCCACGAGAGTGGACTGGCCATCTTTCTACCGCAGAGCAGCTGGAGGGTTCTAATAGTGTGGTCTAGTGGCAAGAAGCTGTGCTGCAATCTCAAAGGCACTCAGTTCTAATACCACCGGCTGCTCTGTGGGAGCAGGATGGGCAATCCCTCTCATGCGATTAATTGCCTCTGAGCGCAGTTATGGGTCAGTTCCAACTCCATGGTACACAACAACAACATCTTTGTGTTGGTAATGCAAACTTTTCCCTCCAGTGCCTTCAACCTTCTTCTTGTTGTTATTGTTGTTGTAATTGTTATTGTCATGTGTCATCAAGTTGCCTGCAATGCATAGAGACCCAATGTACCCTACCCTGAGCCAATCTCATTGTCTCTGACAGATTTAATCCCATTTCCCCAGTTACTACCTCAATCCATCGCATCCTGGGTCTTCCTCTCCTGAGCTGTCCCTCCATCCTTCTAAGCATGATGTCCTTCTTCAAGGACTGGTCCCTCCAAGGACTGCCCAAAGTATATGAGAAGAAGCTTGAAAATCCTTGCCTCCAGGGAGCAGCTGATTTCACCCTCTCAAGGACAGACCTGTTTGTTCTCCTTGAAGTTCACGGTATGTTCAATACTCTATCACCACGACTCAAAGGCATCAGTTCTTCTTCCATCATCCTTTTTCATTGTCTTACTCTCAGATACATGGCAAGCAATCAAGAAGGTCTTCAAACTTTCATCATTACTCTTCAGTACTCTGGAGAGGTCCCTGACAACAGGTGTGTGTGTGTGTGTGTGTGTGTGTGTGTGTGTGTGTGTGTGTACCGTCAAATCAGATCTGACTGGTACAGGAGGAGATTGTCCCTCCTTTTCCCGGCAGAGCATCTGGTGGATTCGAACCGTGTGCCTCTGGGATTGTAGTTGCAACTCCTTGCCACTAGGCCACCAGAGCTCCCCAACAACAGTTTTTTCCAGTGCAATATATCTCTTGATTTCTTGACTGCAGGTACCAAGGGTGTTGATTATGGATCCAAGTAAGATTTATGCAGTAATTGTTAAATGGGAACCTAATTTGCTCTGTAAACTTTTATCCAAAACACAGTAAAATACTTGGGAGAAAAATATCCTTTCTTCTCACAAACACTGTCAAGTACGTTTTTATGAAACTGTACGGGAATTAGCATTTCCCCCTAGATTTTTTATCTGACAGGAAAGTCAGTCAGATTCTTTATTGCTATGGCTCCCCTCCCTGAACTCGCTTTGCAAAAAGCACGTTTGGTTTTCATTTGTTCAGCTGGTTTGTGGCTTGTTTGTTTGTTTTTTTGTTTCTCAAGCAGAGCTAAGAGTTGGCTAGTTCTTTTCTCAGCCTAATTTAGGGAAGGGCATGGCACCGCTGAATGACAGGGATTGATCCCTTTCGTTACTTTTTATTTCTCTCCCACTCATTCACTCCCAAGTCAGTTCAACTCCTAGTGACCTTCCAGAGAGTCTCTGAGCCTGTAAACTGTAAAGGGAGAAACGGCCCATCTTTCTCACAAGGATTTGCTGCTGGAGGTACACAGCCTTTGCATTAGCAACACGTAGAGGAGAAGGGAAACTTTTTTTAAAATTCTGATTTATTTACAAAGTTCAAATGTGATCTTTTTCACACCAGATCTTTCCCATTTCCTTCACCACCCCCACCCATCAAATTGCACAGCCCTATGATTCACCCTCCCCTGAGAGGCTCCCTGCAGACGCCCTGGAGTTGACCCTCCTGGGTCTTGAGGAAAAGGGAGAAAGCCAGTGTTTTGTTGTCATGAATGAAGAGAAAGGGAGAAAGGGTGAGGGTACATACGAGTCAATTGGGAAAGCTGGTAGACTTCGTAAGTTGGAATCACTCCAGTGTGGTGGCAGGGAAGTGGGGTTGGTGGGAGCTGAGGTCTCAGCGGCTGTGGGCTGGCAGCCGGGAGGAGGCTGCCAGCAGAGCTGTTCCACATGTGCTGACGTTGACTGAGACTGGTGGAGACTCGCCATTGTGTTTCCAAAACGATAATCTTCACACAAAGAGGCTTCTTCATATTTCTCCCTCAGAGCAGCTGGTGAATTCGTTCAGTTAGCACCCAAGCACTTGACCACTGTGGAACCGACTAGATTCTACCCAAGCATATAAGAAGCCCTAGTGGTTGCAATGAGGGAGCTCTGGTGGCCTAATGGCAAGAAGCAGTGCTGCAATCCTGAAGGCACACAGTTCAAGGCCACCAGGTGCTCTGCAGAGGATGGGCAATCTCCTCCTACTAATGATTAACTTGTCTCTGAAGACCCGTCAGAGGCTTGGCTATGGTTCGGTTCCTACAGTATACAACAACAGGGGTGCAGTGGTTAAGGATCTGGCAGCTACCCATGAGGCTGGTGGTTCAAAACCACCAGCAGCTTTGAGGCTGAAATATGAGGCAGTCTGCTTCTGTTAAGATTTATAGCGGTGAAAACCTTGAAGGTGGTTCTACTCTGTCCTGAGGAATCACTATTGCAAGTTTTGAGTGGATCGCCTCTGTCCGCCCAGATTTGGGTGTTTCCTGTCTGTGTCCACATCACTGCGGGGCTCAGAGTCTGTGGAGTGTTGTGGCAGCGAACCAGGCCTGAAAAAGCAAGGAAAGGGCAGAGTAGAATGCAGGATATCAAGCAAAGCCCATACCCAGACCATGTCCTCCCACCCATTGTCTCTCTGCCCTGTTCAGAGCTCAGCAGGCAGGTGGACAGGGCCTTTTAAATGTTAGATTTTAAAAAAGGGCAATTGATTCATTAAAATCTCATTTAAAAACGAAAAAAAAGAAAGGGCAGTTGCAGCCTCCTCCGTCACTGATGGGGTCAAGAGTCAAAGGCTAAATAAACAGAGAATTGGACTAACCTCTACCCTTCCTGATGGGGTGGGAGCTCTCCTCCAGGAAAGCTCTGATGGATGGATGGGCACATTCCATGTCTTCCTCAGGGAGCATAGTGTCGTTCTCCAAATTCGGAGCCAAGGTCCACTGACCTCTGTCGTGGGGGCAAAAATCACATTCATACGAGCTGCTTCTCACACACAGTGGGGGAGTAGATGTGAGCCCTTCACTGTGCGCCCTCACATTCCTTCAGCTCCCTGGGCTCTCCAGGGCACAGAGATGGCTGAGGACATAGGAGTGTGGAGAGAAGAGTTCCAGACACTCATTCAGGAGGTGAAGCCATGGCACACTTGGACTCTGACGTTGGACAAGGAGCTTCTTCCCAGTACCCGGCAGCCGGAGTGGGTGCAGTACAAGCAGTGGTCTTTCGCCAGGTCAGTGAGGGCTGCTTGTTGCTTGCTTCTTGGTCGAGGAGGTCTGGGGGCCCCATGATTCAAGTACTCAGATTTGAACTACAAGGTCAGTAGTATCAAGCCACCAGAGAGGAATTTGAGGCATTCCACTTCCACAAATCTTGGGAACCCCATGGGGCTGTTTAGTGCCCTAAAGAGTCCCAAGGAGTCTGAATCAACCCAACAAGTGTGGGTCTCCTTTTTGGTTGTTGATATTCTTGCTTAATGTTGTTGTTAGATTCCGCTGAGTCGTCTAGTGTTCTGTACCTTCAAGTTGGAACCAACCCATAGCTGATCCTCCAGCGGATTTTCAGAGACAGTTCATTTCAGAGGAGGAGACCAGCCATCTTTCTCCCACAAAGCAGCTGCCAGATACGAACCACATGCCTTTGGTCTGGCAGTGCAACTCCTTACCACTAAGCCACCAGAGCTCCCTCATAGTGACCCTTGTTGCTGTTGTTGTTGTTGTTGTTGTTGTGTACCATAGAGTTGGAACCGACCCATAGCTGACCCTCTGGTGGGTTTTCTGAAGTAGTTAATCACACAGGAGGAGATTGCCCACCCTTCTCCCTCAGGAGCGTCTGGTGGCCTTGAACCATGTGCCTTTGAGATTGCAGCGCAGCTCCTTGCCACTAGGCCACCAGAGCTCCCTATGAACAATAAATCTGAACCTTGCCCTATCCTGTGCCATCCTCACGATCTCTGATACGCTCCAGCATTTTGCTGCAGTCATCCAAAGCCTAACCCTCTCGTGAGAAGACACAAGAGGAGAAGGGGAAGCCCTGGAGCAGAGTCAGGGCTAGGAGGAGGCCCTGCTGGCCTGTCCCTGCTTTCTTCCTAGGAATGGGACCGAGCATCAGAAACAGCTCTCCCCTCTCTGTCACTGTCCCAGGCCAGCAGCTGGCAGCAGGAGTATCTAAGCAAATTCTCTGTCCATTTGATTTGTGAGAACTTTGGACTCTGAGCTAACTCTGGGGCAGAGAGGCATGTCCAGGGCAGGGCAGTGAACTGAGTGACCTTCAAGAGAACATGGCCCTGGGCCCCACTTCCCACCACCTCTCTGAGCTAAATGATAATACAGTGGTCCCAACTTCTTTTTTCTTTTAGGTTTTTTTTTTTAACATTTTTTTTTTCTAATTTTTTTCATGAACATTTACAGAGACTTTGGATTTCCATTCATTCATTGTGGCATTTTTCTCCCTGCCCAACCATCCCACTCCCAGACCCCCAACCCCCCAGTTCGCTCTTCTCTTTGAAAAGCAAAAGAAAAACTCTTTCATTGTTATGCAATCCCCCCCCTCCAAGTCCACTCCACTATGCAGCCTTCATTCTGGACTCTTGTCATGACCATAATACCCAATCATATATTGCTTAAAAATATGGAACGCTTCATGAATCTGTGTGTCATCCTTGCGCAGGGGCCATGCTAATCTTCTCTGTTTCGTTCCAATTTTAGTATATGTGCCGCCGAAGCGAGCACAGTGGTCCCAGCTTCTTGGCATCTTCTCAGTTCATCCTCATATCGTCCTGAAAGTTAGTGCTAGAATCAAGCTATAGGAGTGAAACAAGATTGACCGGTTCATCCCAATCTTGGCAATGGCCCTGCATTAAGGTAGACTTGGCTATGCTTAACGAGACAAGTGAGGGAGTGCTGGGATCCTCGGCCATAATGTTATTGTTGTTGTTTTTGTTGTTTGTGTACCGCTGACCCATAGCTGATCTTCCAGAGGATTTCAGAGGCAGTTAATTGCACAGGAGGAGATTGCCCGCCCTTTTCCTGAGGAGCATCTGGTGGCCTCGAACCGCATGCCTTCGGGATTGCAGGGCAGCTTCTTGCCCCTAGGCTACCAGTCCTGCATCTCCCATGATTCCTTTTCTGGAAGCAGCCAAGTACGCCCCACCCACCCTCACTCCACTCTTCCTCACAGATGTTGGTCCATGTCTCAGAGCTCTAAGCGTTCCTTCCTGCTGAGAGGGGCTGGCATTCTCTTACACCCTGTCAGAAAGAGACCCGTTCTCAGGCAGCCTGGCCCTAAGGATCTGGGTTGGAGGGAGCAGGATGCTGTGATGCCTTGTCCGGAAGGTGAGGCCTCAGAACCATCAAGAAAGACCCTGCTTTTTTCCTCAGGCCTGGACTTTCTTGTGGGCTCTCTCATCAGCGAGTCTGTGACTTCCTTACAATGAGTTCTATCCATTTGTTGTAGATTCTGGACCGGGGCTGAAAGGAGCTGATTGAACGGCGTTTGTAGCATTTTCTTGACCAATTTGACTATGAATGTGAAGCAGCCTCAGTTTAGAGGTCAGGAGACAGGGTTCTGGTCCTGCCTCTGCCTTTTACAACTCAGTGAGTCTCTGGATAAGTTGAGTTGGCAGCGTGGACCTCAGCTCTGCGACGAGCACGCTGGATTTACACGCTGCCCGGGATCCAGTCCAGAGGGACAGCTTGTGACTTGCTATTTTCATGGCAGACATCTGTCAGCCATGAAGCGCGTTGGTGGAGGACCAGAAACAGGAGGGGGGCTCTGAAGTTTCTTCCACCAGGAGCCCATGACGCCAATCAAACCACGTGTTCTTACCGCAGCCCTCCCCGCACTCCACCTCTGGTGGGAGCCTGAGATCTCAATCACTCTGAGCCTCTCTGAGTCTTGCTTTCTCCCTCCACAGGTTCCAATGCTCCTCTTGCTCTCGTCACTGGGCCTCCGCCCAAGTCCAAGTCCTCTTCCACATGCACTGGAGCAAGGGGACGTCCCAGGGCCAGGTGAAGATGAGGCTTTTCGGCCAGAGGTGTCAGAAGTGCTCCCAGTCTGCCTTTGAGGTCCCAGAGTTCACACAAGAGAACATCTCAAGGATCCTAAACAATCTGGTGCTCCACATTCTGAAGAGATGCTACAGAGAAGGATTTAAGTCCATGGAAGTAATTCCTGCCATCAAGGACATCCCTCTCGAAGGGCCCCATGACAGTGGCAACTGTGAGGCATGTCATCAGGGGTTTTGTGCTCAGAGAAAGCTCGACCCAGGCCAGCAGGCACCTGTGCCTTCTCTACAGTCTGCACCACAGCCTGTCCCCCCAAAGAATGTCAAGAAGTCCAAGACCACTGCGAAAGCCGGCAACCTGTCCTGCTCACACGCACCTGCCAAGACGGACAAGCTCCTTAAGGCAAGAGTTTGGTCTGAAATCCCTAACCCTCCCATAACTGCAGGTGCTTCCAAGGTTAGTCATGTCTCTGAAGTCCCTGGCCCTCCCAGAGCTGTCCCTGCTCCCAGAGCTGTCCCTGCTCCCGGAACCAGCCACATGTCAAGATCATCAACTCCTCCAAGAAACTCAAGCCTTCAGGTGCCAGCAAAAAATTCACTTCTTCCTCAGGCTGTCACTCAAGTGTATGTTCCTACAAACAGAAGCATCTTAGTGGGAGCTGGACTGAAGGAAAGTAGAACATTATCATTATCTATGTTGTCCATGTTTGAGGAGCCCTACACTTCCCCAAAACCCACTTCTTGGAACTCAAGAGCTGGATACTCAAGAGAGACAAGAGTCCTCAGACCCACCTCAAGGGAGGTTTCCTACTCCACCCCATCTCAGAATCGTAGTGAACTTTTAACCTGTTGTTGCTGTTGTCTCATTTTCATCGTGTTGGCAACTGTTCTGGGAACCACTCTTTGAACGTCAAAAACAGTGTGCTAAGTGAAAGAAAGCAGGAAAGGAGTGCCTCAGGGACGCATCCTGTCTTTTTCCATCTATACGAGGAACAGATCATTCAGGAAGCTGCACTTTACATGGAGGAATGTGGCATCAGGATTGGAGGAAGGCTCATCAACAACTTGCAGTATGCAGACGACACAACCTTGCTTGCCGAAACGGAGGAGGACCTGAAGCGTTTGCTGCAGAAGGTCAAGGATTATAGTCTTCAATATGGATTGAAGTTCAACATCAAAAAAACAAACAAACACAGATTCTCACCACTGGGAAAATTGGCAGCATCATGATAGATGGAGTAGAGGTTGAGGTTGTTAACAAGTTCAGCTCATTTGGTTCCGTAATCAACACTCTTTGCACCAATAGCCAGGAAATCAAAAGATTAATTGCATTAGGGAAATCTGCTGTCAGGGACCTCTCCAGACTGCTAGAGATCAATGAAATCAGTCTACAGGCCATGATCTTTGCAATTACTTGCTGTCCTTCAGAGAGCTGAACTAAGGATGATAAAAGAAGAATCAGTGCCTTTGAGTTGTGGTGGTGGAGAAGCGTGTTGAACCTACCCTGAACTGCCAAGAGAACTAACATGTCTGTCCTGGAGAGGATGAAATCAAGTTGCTCCTTGGAGGCAAGGATTTTGAAGTTCCGTCTCATATACTTTGGGCATGTGGCCAAGAGGGAGCAGTCCTTGGAGAAGGACATCATTCTTGGAAGGGTAGAGGATATTATACTTTTATTTTTAAACACTTGATCTCAATTTTTGCTTTCTACGCTGCCCTTTCTGACCGAAGCCCAGATCCAGGCTTCCGGAGGTCAGTGTTTGCTCAGCAAACACTTACCCAGATCCCAGGCTTGACAGGAAGCCAAACAGCAGAAAGCCAACATGAAGCTTTCTGAGATATTCAGTCCCTGCCTGGGTGGTCTTACTGGGCATAGTGTTGGTCCCTCCTCAGAATGAGGCCAGCTGTTAAAGGTTCTGGCCCTTCCCTTAAATTTCTGTCCTGGGTACCTGAGCACCCCCTCTCCTACTCTCCACCCACTGCCAAAGCAATCCCAGACCTCTGACCCCGGACCTTCCTGTGACCTCAACTGCAGAGAAAAACAACACACGTGACACCAGGGAAATTTCTGTCCATCCCACATAGAGGCCACAGCAGACGTTAGTAACAACGGTAAACAGAAGAGAACGCAAAACAGAAAGGAGAAATTAAAGAGAAACAATAAGGTGGCAGGCTCAATCCAACGATATCAATGATTATATTAAATGTAACTAGACTGAGCTCTCCAATGGAAAGGCAGAAGTTCTCATATTAAGAAAGTTATATATAAAAAGAAGCTCTTATGACCTAATGGCAAGAAGCTTTGCTGCAATCCCAAAGGCACATGGTTCAAATCCCCCAGATGCTTTGCTGGAGAAGAAAGGGGCAATCTCCTCGTGTGCCAGTCGGATCCAACTTGATGGTACACAACGGGGGGGGGGGGTGGTGTGTGAAGAGAAAGTTATATATAAGAGATGCGCTTGAACCGCAAAGGCAATAACTCATTAAAAGGGTAAAGAATGGATAACTTGTAAGAATGTTGGACTGTCAAAAATTCAGGAACAGAAAATACAGTGATGAGACAAGATAGATCCGAATACATGCCTATTATTGGGAAGAGAAGAAAGCATGAGTCAATGGCTTACACACAAATGGAAAGAGGGACAAGGTCATTACAAAAGGGTCAGATGATCAAGTTTTTCAAACTCTCTGCTACCAATCAGTCCCAATTCACAGTGACCCTACCCACTGAGTTTCTGGTTGTCAATCACAATGACGGTAATGAGTTACTCTAAGTTCAAGATTACTAAAAATACAAACAAATAAAATCCTAATTCATCCATTGAGTTTCTGAGGCTGTAAATCACCCCTGGAAAACACTGGTCCGTGTTTCTCTCTCTGAGTCCCTGGTAGATTTGAACCAACAGAGGGGTGCCAGCCTTTTGGCTGAGCAATGAAATTCAGGTTTTAAAAATCAGATGAAGGCGAGCTCTGGTGGCCTAGTGGCAGGAAACTGCACTGCAATCCCAGAGGTGCGTGGTTCAAATCCACCAGATGCTCTGCTGAAAAAGGAGGAACAATCACCTCCTGTACCAGTCAGATCTGATTTGACGGTACACACACACACACACAATAAATAAAGATTTTTAAAAAAATCAGATGAAAACACATCTGACATATATACAATAAATATATATGATAAAATATGTCTTCCCCCTTCTGAATCAGCAAGATAAGTTGAGGCAAGAAAGATTGAAAATCAACAGAAAGAGGAACAAGGGACTCAATTTCCTGAATTTACTGTTTGCCGTTCTCATCATTTACCCTGAATCCGTGTTTGGCAAGCACACCAAATGGTCCTTCTGTTCAACTTCTTACCCTTGTGCTTTGATGAATGAAGCTTTTGTCTTTTGCTGTTGTACTATGACTGCAGCTTTGTCTAGTCATAACCAATGTCTTTCTCGTTGCATTGTGTGTGACTTTTACTCCATCAGATGTTGAAATCTCTGAAAAATCAGGAAAAGATTTTTCTTTTCCGCAGCAATCTTTTCTTTTTAAAGCTTAAAGGAAAATTGAGTATTTGTGTGATTACCTGTTTTAAGTGAGTAATCAGGACAAGTAAAGAAGCAGTTAGGTCCTAAAAAGAAATGTACCTCTAAGCCATAAAGTTAAGGTGCTTTTCCTACAGAAAATCCAGAATGATCCATTTCTCATCACATTCAAAATATTCTGACTCCTGCACCCCTGGCACACAGACCAGCGCTGCTCCACAGGGTTTCAAAGCCTGCAATCCAGGGGAGCTCTGGTGGCCTAGTGGCAAGGAGCTGCAACTATAATCCCAGAGGCACACGGTTCTAATCCACCAGATGCTCTGCTGGAAAAAGGAGGAACAATCTCCTCCTGTACCAGTCGGATCTGATTTGACAGTACGCTCACACAAAAATAAAAAAAAAATAAATAAAAAATTTAAAAAAAACCCTGCAATCCTTGTTGTTGTTGTTGTTGTTAAGTGCTGTTGAGTCGCAGGTGACTCATAGCGACCCTATTTTTTTCCATACAGCGGATGGTGGATTCAAACTGTCAACCTTTCAGTTTGCAGTTGAGCACTTTACAACAACACCAGGGCTCATTCCATCACATCTCAACCTTAGAAATATAAAAAAAAACAAAACAAAACAACAAAAAACCCCAACCCTCTCTTTCTGTAAAAAGAAGTTGAATCCTTCCACAACTCAAATTAATATGGGAATGAAATTTTTTCAATTAATAAATTTCTTTTTTGAGTGAAAGTTTGCAAATTATATTATTTTTCATACAATCATTTACAAAAATTCTTAAAACATTATTGACCATTGTTTGGTGTAATTAATTATAGTTTAGGGTCGCTATGAGCCATCTATGTCCCGAAGGCACTAACAACAACAAAGTAGGAGAGAAAGACCTTGGATGAGACCGATTGACTGTGGTACTGAGGGAGGTGTGTCATTGACAGTAAACTTGGCTCAGGATAGGGCAGGGTTCGGAGCAACTTTGCATAGGTCACTAAAAGATGTAGTCAACTTGACCACATAAAACAAAAACAATCAACCACTTATTAGGTATTACCTTTTCCTTCACTCTACCGATTTGAATTACTTTCTGACTTATTCATTCCAAGCTACATTACAATTGAAACAAAAAGCAGAATGATGGGCAGGATGGACAGACTCACCAAAAGTTAAAGTGGATTCTTGTGGAAATTAAATTAAAACTCGAATAAAAAAAAAAACAAACAAACTTGTTGGGATCTTGCTAGTAATTAAAACATACAATGAGATTTTACCTAATATGCTTAATTTCCAAATCATGAGAAATGGAAATGGTACTAAACTTTTAGAACCAGAACATTGTTATTCTCCTAAGAAGTAGATTTTGTTCTTTCATTCACATTGTTTTAATGTTTGTACATATATTCTGTTATGATTTTTACAAATTATGTATCATCAGTCTATAAGCTTAATGTAAAATTTGTAATTACAATTTTCACATCTATATGTTTCCATTAAGATGTGTGTTTACTTTTCAAATTTTTTGCATATATATTAATAAATACAGAAATAGTATCACAAACAGCATCAGAGTCACATAACATATTTGCCTTGAGATAGTAATAACACAACAGTACTAGTAATAAGTACATAACAATACTGCAATGTGTTTCCTTATTTGTAACATTAGGATAGAATTTTTGCACAAAAGACTGATTCTATTGAATAAGATTTACATAAAAGACACATAGCTAATTGGTATGAAAACACTATCCTTGAGCTCTTTATAGACATATTTTCTATATGCTTATATATGGTATCTAATTTCCCATGAAATAAAAATCCATAATTATTCAAATTAAATAATAGTTAATAAATTTGAATTACATTTTTAAAGTGTTAAATAGAAAAACATAATTAATTAGGGTTCAATGAAAGTGATTTCTTAGTTTCTTATTTTTTTTTTCATATCTTAACCCACTTTTCAGAGTCTATTTTTTTAAAGCTGTTATAAATCAGTGGTTTCTAGAATATCCTATTTTACATCAGATAAAGACAGTTTGACATTAACCATTGACATTAAACTGCTGGGGTGTCAAAAGGAACCCTCTTTAAAGGCATGCCTCTGAGAACAGATCAGACCTTCAAACAAAAGAAAACTTTAAAACCATCCTTCATTTTCAGCCCAGATTAACGTCCAAAAAAACCTGAACTGGTTAGACTTCTGCTGTCCAATATGGAAGCCATGTGGCTCCTTGAGTTTAAATTGCAGTTGTTGTTGTTGTTATTGTGTTTCATCAAGTCGGAACTGACCCATAGCTGACCTTCTGGCGGCATTTTAGAGGCAGTTAATAGCACAGGAGGAAATTACCTATCTTTCTCTCAAGGACATTCAAATTACAGAAAATAAAAAATTTCACTCATCAGCTCCACTCACTACCTTTCAAGTGTTCATGAATCATGTACAACTGGTGGCTGCTGTCTTGGGCAGTGTATAGAGAGGGAGAGGGAGAGGGAGATATATAATGTTTCCAACAGCAGAAAGTTCTAGACCATGTAATTATCGAATCAATTATAAATAGATGTGAACGTATTCATATCTTTCTTCCTTTCTGCCAAAGAGCTACTTGCTGAAGCTTATACTGAAAGCAATCAGTCATAGTCCTGTCCCATCCCAAGACAGTCCTGTTTCATCCGAAGACAGTAATATAAAAATAGAGACATCTGTGTAATTCTTCCAACTAGCATTTGGTCACAGACAGTGTTCTCCTGTGACACCCATGAGGACGGCTTGCTAGGGATTCTTCCTCATTGGGTATTAATTATCCTCACTCTTGATACCCGCAGCCAGGAAATTAAAAGACGAATTGCACTGGGGCAAGTCTGCTATCAGAGACAGCAGCAACGATGTCAGTCTGGAGACTAAGGTGAGCCTGATCCAGACCATAATCTTCTCAATTGGGTGCTATATGTCAAAAAGCTGGACAATGACAAGGGATGCTAGAAGGAGAATTGATGCCTTTGAGCTGCTGTGCTGGAGAAGAGTATTGAATATACCATGGACTGCTAGGAGAACAAACAGGTTCGTTCTAGAGAGGGTGAAGCCAGCCAGGCTGCTCCTTGGAGGCAAGGATTCTAAAGCTCCATCAGACATACTTTGAACATGTTTCAAGGAGGGACCAGTCCTTGGAGAGGGACTTCATGCTTGGGAGGGTGGAGGGACAGCGCCACCCTTGGTAAAATGGATGGATTCAGTGCCTGGGGTAATGGGGGTAGGTGTGTCAGAGACAATAAGATTGGCACAGGATAGAGCAAGGTTTACAGCTGTTGTACACAGGGTCATTATGAGTCATAGGTGATTCGACGGCACATAACAACAACATCACACTACATGGCCACGCTGGGGGGACAATTCAGCAGGAAGTCATTGCTCTTGCTCCGTGCCCAGACATGGGTGCCAGGACCCTCAGGTGTCTGCTCAGAGCACAATGCCCATCTTCATGGGCCATTCCAAATTGTCTGTGGTCAGCCATACCCACCTTTCCTGGACCAGCTCACCACATAGTGTCTCTTGTCCAATACAAGGGCAGACCTTCCAGTCTGCACCCAGCTTATACCTAATGTCTCTCCCGAGGGCTCCAAAGGGAGGCTCTGGTTACCAAATCATAATTTTTTTTAAAAATTCTATAAATAGCCATTTGTATAAACTCAAAGAAAATTATTCTTAGTAAAAAAATTTTGTGTTAAAACTCTTTTAAAATAACAAAATAAACTTTCATCTGACTAGGCCAAGAGAATAAATGTTCTTTTTTTCTTCATATTAATGGAAATGCAACGTCAGTGCTCCTCAAACAATTATTTTGTGTGAAACAAATGCTCTTTTTAACACTTTTATCCCCTCGTTTCTGAAAACAATGCAGTCAACGTCAGAGTTTGGTCTTCACATTATAATTTTAAATAAAATATATTTTATAAACTACTAAATGTGCACTGTTCAGAAAGACTTGTGTTCAAATGAACCTATCAGTATCAGCATCTCCACATTTACCAGTTGTTGGATTCAAGGAGAGAACTATTCATATATTTAAAATATGAAAAAGCCATTTTTTCCTGGCACTGACTCTAGACTTTGTCCGTAAGCATGAGCTATTATCCCTGTACAGCATGACCCATAACACACAGCTTTGTATCTCCACAGGATTGAAAGATTTTGCAGTCTTCCAGTGGGTGACATCAAAGTTGAAGGCTGAAAGATACTTTTGTGGTATAGCTAGGAACATATTCTGTAACAAAGAGAGAAAAAAAAAGCATCCAAGCTTTAACCATCTTATTAGAAAATATAAATACATGCCACAGCCTATGTCAATACGTAGGTTACCACCATAAATTAAAGCCACTTTTACCATGAACCGCCAAGAGCACTAACAGGTCTGTCTGTCTTGGAGAGAGTGAAGCCAAGTTTCTCCTTGGAGGCAAGGGTTTTGAAGCTCTGTCTCACATACTTTGAACACGTGGCCAGGAGAGACTAGTCCTTGGAAAAGGACATCATGCTTGGAAGGATGCAGGGATGGTGCAGGAAAGGAAGACCTCGGATGAGATGGATTGAAACAGTAACTGGGGCAGTGGGAGTAGGTGTGTTGGAGTCAGTAAGACTGGCTCAGGACAGGGCAGGCTTCAGAGCTGTGGTGCAACGGGTCACTATGAGTAGTTGGTCCTAACAATAACATGTTCAAAGTGTAAAGATTTATCAACATTAAGTCAATCATCACAAATGTGTTGAGATTAAGATGAAAGAAACTCTTGTTTATTAATTAGTAAGCTTTCCAGTTAACCTGCAACTTTCCAATTCACTTGCAAACTAATGTGGCTACATCAGGATTCTGGAAATGATAAGATTGCACAGCAATGGAAGTCGACAAGATAAAAGAGAGGCTTGCTTACAAGGGAGGCTTGGAATATTCCTAAACTGATGGAAATTTTAGTGAGTATGTCTCCTCTCAACCTCCTAGAAATTACTGCCTCCATTCGCAGGTCAAATTTATCAAAGAAAAACTTGACAAATGTTCTCTTCAGCATCAGCATGTCCTGAGAAGGGGCTAGAATGTACATTTTTAGGCCTCATCCCAGGCCTGCTGAATCTGAAACGCTGGGATAGGGGTCTCCCTGTATGTTTGCTGCCCCCTTAAGTTCGAAGACCACTGAGGGGCTTCGCTTCCCCCACATCCTTGAATCACAAGAGGTTATAGGCCCCTGTGGACTAACTCCAGCTTTTTTCCTGAGAACCATGGACTCTGTGAGGGACTCAGACACTAGTCTGAGGGGGGGAGGCTGAGGGAAGAAAGGACAGACTCTGTGATTAAGAAAAGAAAAAAAGGGTTTTTTTAAGTTAAAACACATGCACTAAAAAAAATAAAGCAAACAAAAACAAAACACAAATGCTCTGCGAGGTAGAAGGTAAACCAGGCAGAGGATTCTCATTTTTTTTTTTGTAGGCCCAAAGTAGCCAGATACTGGCAATCGGATTGGGCTTAACCTCAAAAGAGTGGATGAAAGATAGAATTCCTATAATTATTTGGAAATAAATGAATGTACCATAAGTGCTAGGAAAGAATGTTACAGTAATACTGCATTTCCTGGACAAGATATTACATTTTGAGCTCTGGTGGCCTAGTGGCAAGAAGCTACGTTCGATCTCAAAGGCACACAGTTTGAGACCATCAGCTGCTCTGTGGGAGAAGGATGGGCAATCTCCTCCCACGTAATGAACTGCCTCTGAAAACCCACTGTAGTGTCAGTATTAATTGGTTCCAACTCAACGGCACACAACAACAACATATTACATTTTAGGGAAGGGTAGGAGGGGAAAGGTCGTTGTTACAATCTTCTTTCCTTAAATAATTAAGTCTCTCTCTCATTGCCATTCGGTCAGAACTGACTCATCGCTGACCCTGAACTGGCTGTAAATCGCAGGAGAGGAGATTACCCACCTTTCTCCCTCTGAGCCGCTGATGAATCGGAACAACAGGAGAATCAGAGAATGGTAACATTTGGGTTAACAGTACAACTCCCTATGAGCTATGCCCCAGAGCTCCCAATAATTAACTTCTTGGTGTTGTTATGTACCATTGAGTCAGAATCAACTCACAGTTAGTCGTGCTTTCAAAGATTGTAAATCACAAGCTAGGAGACTGATCATCTCTCTCCCACAAAGCAGCAGGTAGATTCAAACCACCTGCCTTTGGGGTGGCAGTGCAACTCTCTACTCACTTGTTTTTGTTGTTGTTGTTGTTGTTATGTGTCGAGTTACCTGCAACTCATAGCAACTCTTTGTACAGTAGCTCCGAATCCTGCCCTATTCTGAGCCAGTCTCTTCATCTCTGACAAACCTAATCTCATTTCTCCAATTACTGAGTCAATCCATCTCATCCTGGGTCTTCCTCTCCTGTGCTGTCCCTCCACCCTTCCCAGAAGGACATCCGTCTCCAAGGACTGGTTCCCTCCTGGCCACAAGTCCAAAATATGTGAGAAGGAGCTTCAAAATTCTTGCCACCAGGGAGCAGCTTGGTTTCACCCTCTCTAGGACAGACCTTTCCTACCTGTCTCTGCACACTAGGCCAATGGATTTACTTTATGTACCAGGTGCAGCACAGTGCACCCAACAATAAATTATAGTTAATTTATAACCTTTAAGAACTTAAAATCTAATAGAAATTTTAACAAGTGTACAATGCCTGTAATATAAAGCAGAGTATTACTAAACATGTTGAGAGAAAATATTTTAGGTTTAAAAAAAATTTGTATTATATAACTAGGGAAAGAGAAAACTTCCTAATGTTGCAGTTGTCTTCAAAGGCATTTAAATCAGGATAATAGTGGGCATAGTTAATGGAAATTAAATTTATAAGACACAATGTATGGAATGATTGTATGAAACACAGCATCAATAGAGGAAAGTAAAACGCAATCTATATAAATTTTACATAATAAATAAATTTTACAAATATAAAATAAATTTTTTTTCAAATGTACATGTTTTTTTTTTATGTGTGTACCGTCAAATTGAATCTGACTGGTACAGGAGGCGATTGTTCCTCCTTCTTCAGCAGAGCATCTGGTGGATTTGAACCGCGCACCTCTGGGATTGCAGTGCAGTTTCCTGCCACTAAGCCACCAGAGCTCGCCCAAATGTACATGTTTTATGAAATAGATTAAATTAATCATGTACAAACCTGTATTCTGTGTTAGTATACTCTTTTTTTTATTTTTAATTTATTTTAATGAATGTTTACAGAGAATTTTGTGAAGAAATCCTGTAACTATCTGTCCATTCATTCATTGTTGCACTTTTCTCCCTGCCCACCCAATATAAAATAAAAACTTTTGCCATTCAGGCTAAGTCAGTAAACTCAACAAACCCCATTCTGTGGGGGAGGGGGGAATGTTTCTTTTATGCTTACAGGTAGATTTTATGGTTCTGAAATATGTGATTCCCTAGAAAAAGAACTTGTACTTCGTACTTGTGTAAAATAGATGCTTTTTGTTAAATAAATTATAATTTATGGATATTTTCTAGAAGTTTAAGGAATATATTTTAGTAAGTGAATAAATTTAAAAAATCATTTAAAAAATGAAATAATTACTTCAAAGTCTGTCATCACTAAAGTTAACTACTAAAAGCACATTATTTTATTGCATTCTGTGGAACATAAAAGTCATTTTCTTGAATATTCTAATGTTTGTTGCATTTTTGCCTAACAGCATATAAGTAGAAATATGAATAAATACTTGGATACAGCAAAAATTTTTACAAGAAGAAAATTATACAACCCCAGGATCTCTTTTGGCTAATAAATGTTTCTGTATTTCAGATTAACCTTTAACACCAATTTATCTTTTTTAAAATTTTTATAGGTTTGCATACAATAATTTGTTTACAAAGAGCTAACTTTTTTTAAAGCAAGATTTAAATGAATTTTTAAAGACTAAGTCATATTCTCCCATCTACTTAGAAAAATTATTTCGTACATATTATTCTAGTTTTAAACTTATGCACAGGTAGCAACACGACTTTCACAGTTCAAATGTGCTTCATAGCTTCCTTGTCAAATAGTTGATAACATCTGGGAAACTTTGATATTTTAAGAAAATCTTCCAAATTTTTTTGTAATTGCCAGAATAGCTTATAAAGTTAAGTAACTTATACTTTAGCCAATTAACTTTTTAAAATTCATTTTATTTATATCAATTAATAAGAAAACTACATATTTCCTTCAAATATTTTCAAATAAGAGTGACTCACCTCTTTCTTTGAGATCTTCAATATAAGCTTTCATAAATTCTTTATCAAAATGTTGGCGATCTTGTTCACTTTCCGTCACCTCTTTACCATCTTGACATTTAGTATTATCAATAGGATTGTCCATAAGACTCACAAATCTATTCAAGAAAACATAGAAAAGATCACAATTTTCCTGCATAGTTTTACTTCAAAATTCTTCACATAAGGAGGGTAACTGCCTGCAAGAACATGGTACCCAGTTACCATTACTGATGACTTTCATCAAAGGCTTACAGAAGGATCTTGATCAAAAGGGGAGAAATGTAGAGCAGAATTTCACATTCTCATGGAATGCAGATTTTGCTGGAACTGTGGAGCCTGGATAAACTCCTGAGATTCTTAAGATAACTTTTTTAAACTAAAACTATTCTCAGAAGCCTACTTAAAGCCAATCGGTAGTTTAATTAAAAAAAAAAAAAGACAAGGAAACGCCTTTTAAGACTTAGCTAGAGGGAGCTCTGGTGGCCTAGTGGCAAGAAGCTGCACTGCAATCCCAGAGGTACGTGGTTCAAATCCACCAGATGCTCTGCTGGAAAAGGAGGGGCAATCTCCTCCTGTACCAATCATATCTGATTTGACCGTACACATACACACAAAATAATAAAATAAAATAAGTATATAAAAGACTTAGTTATTCAGTCTCAAATTTACAGCCACCAATTAAAAGATTACATAAGGAAATGTCAAGGGATGGGAAGAAGTGGGCAGTGAATTAATAGGGGAGTAGCAATTTGGAAAAGGAATGTGGAAACGGTTGTACAACTCAAAGAATGTAATCAGTGTTACTGAATTGTACATGCACAAGTTGCTAAATTGTTGAATTCCCAACAATAAAAAGAAAATATATTTCAAACTTTTTTTTCTCACATAGGAATAATCCTCGTAGTACTAAATTCCAAGTTCTCATTTATCCTTGAAATTCACAGTTGACCAATTGGCATTATCATTATTTTTTTTGTTTATTATTTTAATGAAAGTTCACAGAGACTTTGGATTTCCATTCATTCGTTGTTGTACTTTTCTCCCTGCCCACCCCTCCCCTCCAGTTTGCTTTTCTCTTTGAAAAGTTAAAAAAGGAAAAAAAAAAACCACTTTCATGTTATACAACCCTCCCTCCATCAGTCCACTCCACTATGCAGCTTTCATTCTGGACTCTTGTTATGACAATAATACCTAATCATATATTCCTCCTAAATAGTTCCCTCCCTCATCTGTTTCAATGCAGTATACATTACTAATCCCCTCTTAGATTCCCCCCAACGCCGATGTCAGTCCTGCTTTACAACAGAGGCACTATGCAGTATTTGTCCTTTTGTGACTGAGATATTTCACTCAACAGAATGTCCTCCAGGGTCACCCATTTTGAATAATATTTCATGAGTTCCTTGTTTTTCAATGAAGCATAGTATTTCATTATAGTATTCTCTATCCATTCATTTGTTGATAGGATCATCATTATTTTTTTATTACTGGAATAAAAATATTTTTGGCCATAAGACAAATACTTCAATGTTGTTCAAACAGGTGGAGGTATTTCTCTTCTCTTCCCTTCCATGTACTTTATACTTTTTCAACACTGACTTGTTTTTTAAGAAATTTTAAGTTATTTTTTTAATGATAACTGGTATCTATTTTTAAATGTTGTTGTTGTGGTTGTGGTTTTTGTTGATTCCCTTCGAGTCCCTCATGACTCATAATGACCCTATGAACAAAAGGCCTGAAGCCCCTCTACAACCATTGACATTTATCAAAGTTCATAGAGTTTCCAGAAGCATGTTATTTAGGAAGTGGATGCCACCCTTGCTTCCCTGTCTATTAATTCAAAGAGCTTTTAGCTGTCCTTTTTGGATTTCCAGATGGAGACCTAATGGTGAGGAATTGCAGTCAAT